TTCTCCTAAATGGTGATAAAAGAGAACCATATGATCCAAGTCCTTATCTACTATCTATTTGGACACTAGGTGAAATGACAAATTCGGCTCAGCCGCCTGAACAGAAATGTGGAGGGCAAGCATCTCACAAACTATGCTTTGGCAAGACTTGTACAGAGTGCAACAGCGTTGGGGAATCAAACTCACAGACAGTTAGGGAACTCTTCTGATACCTTGTCAAACTGAGAGAAAACTTCCTCCTCAATAGAACATACTTCCAAGTGAACAGGACATACTTCCAAGTGAATGAAACATTTTTTGAATTATCAGTAATATCGATATCTAATTGTTTTTAACAGAGAGGATACAGTTTTGTTTTTGAAAAAAGATTTGTGTGTATCTGCGTCTTTGAGTTTGAGTCCAAGACCAGAACCCTTCTATTCACAAACCGAAGAGCTTAAAATAGGAATTCACATTGTTTTTATACTCTCATCTAAACAAATTTTTTTATTCGTTGGAAGAACTTAAGAATTTTTTTAGTTCTTTATAACAAAATTTAAACAATTTTAGTTTTGTCATTTTTAGTGTTTTACTGTGTCTTATTGGATAATGCAAATATACATAAAAAAAAAGACACTTTGTCAAAAAAGAAGAAGCATATTTTCATAATTAAATTTGCTTTAGGTGAAATTATTTTTCAACCATTATCGCGGCCTATCGCACCAAAAAGGAACTAAAGGGTTGACTTTGTAATGTCTGACTGAAGAAAACAAAAGGGATCAAACGTTGTTCCGGTCAACAAATAGAACGAGCATATTGTTGACCAAATTATTCAAAACTTTGAAACGAGACTATTCTCCATCTCGTTACTTCATTAAATACTTGCACGGAAAATGATATATTTATGTAATTATTAAAAAGTAATTGTGTAAATTAAATTCATATGGCTTACGAGTCACGCGTTTCCTCGGGTTCACCTATTATCATTCAAAACCTAGTATTTGAATGTTTATATCTTTGCTCCATGTGTGATATGTTCGCTCACATATTCTTCATTTTTTCAAGGATCGCACACACATTCTTACCACAGTCGGTTTCAGGAATGGATAGTTTAAGAAGATACATGGCAAACTCTTGTGTTCAAATTGTCCCAATTGTATTTAGTTTAATTATTCCGTACGTTGCTAAGATCAAAAAGATAATATTATGCGGATGTACTCAATATGCATGAAAGTTTTATATTGATGTGGCCAAACAAATTACATGGAGTACTCCATTAGGAGTATATTTGGACACGCATATTTATAACAAGGAACGGTATAACCAATTAGGAAGCACTTTTAAGTTGACTTCGATATCTTTTTTTCTTTTGTGAAAGTGACTAACTACGATATCTTTCTCACTAGAAATCTCATAAAATATTATACATATCACCTTTCAGTTTGTAATGAATGATCCTAAAATCGATCTGATAGTTTTATCATGTTAAGTTGTTAACTGCATGTAGATATGGCAAAAGTTATGACACCTTTACGTTCCATTTTTACATGTATAATCTAAAGAAATACTAAAAATGAAAATATATACTATTAGTAGTATTAATTAATTATGAATATCATAAATCTTTATACAAAAATGTATGGATTAATTGATGCCCTTTTAAAACATCACTATCACATTTAATAAAGATGCAATGTACACTCAATCTATCTCTCCGTTCTTTGAATGCTCCTTTTTTATTTTATCCGGAAAACAAAAATTGCCACAATACGAATTTTGAAAAAAAACATTTATTTATTTTGTTAAAGTTTTTCAAAAAAACATTTATCATATAACATTATTTTAATCGAAATAAATAACCGAACTGAATCGACACTGATCGATCGGTTGTCTTCAAGTCGTTGTTGACTATAAGTCCCTTTTCACTGAATCACATGTCCCACTCTCTCTACATTCTCTCTCGTTACAAACTAATCTAAACCCTAAAAATCAAATCTTTCTTATTTCATTTCCACCTCTTTTTACACAATCACTTTCTCTGATTTTATCAAAAACAAACCCAATCACACAGTTTCCCTCTTTCACTCTAACCTCATACGACAACTTATGGGATTTTCCGGCAAGGCCCTCCACCAGTTCGACCTGGAATTTCGAGAAACTTCAGAGGGAAAGAAATGGGTCATACGTACGCCGATGAAACCGATTAGCCTCTCCTCCTCTGCCGTAGCCGACACGGAAGACGGCATTCATCAAGACCAGTATCCGACGACTCCAACGGCAGCTTCCGTTAGAATACCAACGGTTTTGCCGTGTCCTCCGGCGCCAAAGAAACGAAAACGGTCAGTAAAGTTTAGCTACGGCGGCGCTAGAGAATTCTTCTCTCCACCGGATCTCGAGACCGTCTTCATACAGAAAAAGCTACTTAATTCTGATTTATAATCTCTACAACTCTCTAACCTTTTTAGGAAAAAAAAAAATATTTTCTTAAATCTATAATTTTAGTTCTTGTTTAGTTTAGCTCTACTCTTAAGCGCTTTCTTCTTTATTTTCGTTTTACACATTAAAAAGAATTGTTAGGAGTTAGGAACGCTAATTAAGGTTAGTGAGTTTCCATCGTCATGTAAAAACTTTTTTTTCCGAGTATAAAAGATAAATATTTAATTGTTAATAGTTGGATCGACTAGTTGCTACATTTTCCTGATCTGGTTAACGAAAAAGTTCTCCAGATACATTATCTGCAGTTACATTTTGGGAAACTCTAGCAGTTGAATGTTATGCTACAATTTATAATTATAAAATTATTGGAAATTATAAAAAAAATATAAAATATGGTTGGGGAATTTGATGAAGCATGTTACTTAATATGTTGTTCACGGATCAAAAGATTATAACTCTTTATCTGCCATTTTGTTTGTTACTTTATTTTCTGATTTAACTTTTGACCATGATATGAAACTATTATACCATTGAAGTTATAAGTTTGTTTCGGTTGAGGGAAAAGTAAGAATTTCTGTTCCAAGATAATTACTACTCCTTCTGTTTTAAAATAAGTGTCACTTTGACACTTTTCACACAAATTAAGAAAGTTAATAAAAAGTCTTTTTTATCCCTAATAAATATACTAAATAACTCTCTTTTTCTAATTAATACACTAAAGTAACAAAATTAAAACTGGATATTTTATTATAAATTTGCATTGAAAACCTAAAACAACACTTTTTGTGAAACAAAAACAAAACTCTAAAACGACGCTCTTTATGAAATGAAGAGAGTATACAGTTGGAATATTTGAAGATACAAGAACTCTTTCTTTTATATTTCCCAACCAGGGAATATTGCTAATGGGAAACTCAACGACAAAGAGTTTACATGTAGGCTGTAGCTAGTCATCATGAATAAAATCACTGTACCTGTGCACCATTTGTAATAACCAAGGACTTTGAAATAGCTTGATTATATCGTAGAATAATTTAAACTTTCAACCTTAACGATGGTAGCGGCTGGGGATTAATTTGCGAATCCACCAAGATTGAGATAATGAATTTTTTCATTTAATTTATGAATATATTTTAAATATTGCCTATGTTTCATAATTATATAAGTTATTTTGGCCAAAAAACAAAAATAATTTAATATATATGTTAAATATAATTCAACCAATCATAAAAATGTAAAATATAATTGGTCACATAATATCCAAGAAAGTAAAAAATTGTATAGAAATATGGAAAGCAACTTATATTTTGAAACAAAAACACTTCTAAAACAACTTATAAACATGTATAACAGTTTTGGAAATTCTTTATAAAATTAAAAAAAAAAAACATTTTGCACGGTCTTCCCATCTAATTGCGGAAAGTCCAGCACTAATTAGTTCTCTCTTTTATTTTAAGCCGGGAAAACAACTTAGTCTTTTAGTTTCTTAATTTTGGATATTTGTCTACCATATTTGTGAAGCAATTGTTTCTAGCTATCTTACCAAGTAACCCCATTTATAAAACGAAAAATCTTTTAGGAATTTTTTAAGAAAGCCATCAAAAGGAATTACGAATGCTTTCAAAAATATAAGAAGAATTTCTATTAGACAAAAAGTGTGACATCTTTGAATAACTAAACTAAAATTTTGTATTTTCTATAGAATATTTCCTTAAACGTTGTCGGTGCTACCATAATATTATCAGTTAGGGTTAGAAACTTTCACGTGCCTTCTATGGTTTTGGAAGCGAAGTTATCAGTTTGGGCAGAGAAAGAGTTTTAATGTGTTGACTACACTTTCAAAATCGACTTGGCTAATGTTGAGGTAACATTAATGGATTCAGAGGAGTGCCCATTTCTTGGACTTTACTGCATGAGATCCGACATTTTCAAAATCTCTTCTCCAGGTGAAAGGGATAGTCACGTTCCTCGTGAAGTGAATTATGTGATGATTCTCTTTCTATGTTTGGCGTTTCTTTAGTTACCTTTATTGCATGATTTTGTCTTTGGTGCTACCCTGGATTTACGTACTGTAAATATATATATTTGACCCGAATATCCAACAAATTCACTAAATCACCATCAATTTTGTAATCATGAAACAATTTCAAAACGGACTGTAGGATTAATTAGTGATTGGATGAATATTGGAAAATTTTAAGATTACAAGATTCTCTCATTTTCTTTGGGCTTCGAGAATCCTGCTTTTTATCAGAATGTTTTTTCCATAAAAAGTAGTTTGAAATAGATTATTTGCACCATATAATTGACCGTACACCTTAACCCTGGTAGTGGCCAAAAGCTTTGCTAATCCACCAAAATTAAGCTATGAAATGTCATTTAAATCTAATTATAAGGGTAAGCAATGTTTCTCTGTTTTAGCATGTACTTAATCATCCAGAACTAAACTCTGTTTCCTCCTATTGCATGTTGATACGTAGCAAATGAAATGACACATCAATACTAAAATGCTCGTTTTTTATGATGAGTTCTTGCGGTCAAGTGATCAGAGAGCCAAATGAATCAGACTGGTATTGAAGTTGGTGTTACACCACATAAATACGATTGTCTTGAGCTGGAAGCAAAGATCCCTAAAAGTAATAAATTGCAAATGTTTCTAAAAGTTAATATGAAGGAGGTAAAAAAAAAAAGTAGCACATACTCAACATGATCACTCTAAAAACAAAAAGCAAATCAAGCAAATAAACATATCCCAAACACAATCCACCAAATCGATTCTAAACATTATGAAATGAAATGAGAGTATTTTGGGGGTTAACATCAGATAACAGAAGTTGCAGTACGCACTTAGTTTCATAGAGGGAGGCAGGCAAAATCTAAACCAGTAACACCAAACCGTTTTCTTCATCAATGTTCATGTTCATTGTGTCACCTCCTCTGCCATAAACACGATAAGGAGAAAATTAGAGGACTTTGATATTTAACCTCAGATAAGGGAAGTTAGAGGCAGAACCAAAGTACCCACTTACCTTTTACATACTAAAAGAAAATTGGTTCTTGTTCTTTCATAAACGTGTCTAAGAGAAGGCGCTCAATGTACATAAAATAGATATCTCCAAGCTGTTTTTCTTCAGTTGCAGCTTCACGATCATCCTGTGTGATATCGTAAGATACAAGATTCTTAATTAAATCCCTAAATGGAAAAAAATTAAAGAATATAAATGGCTCGGTTTCAAGAACCATATATTAAATCTTTTACCATCGACATTATGCACTTCTGATGAAACAGTTCCTTGCAGTAGAAGCAGGAGTAGCTCTTACCGTAGCAACTTAATCTACAAACAGCACACCGGTTCCTGTCCCAGTGATGGATTTCAGAGAGCTTATGTTGATGCTTTTGGGACTTTACAAAGGCTGGAAATCCAAGACACTCTCCATGGGCGCAGAAGTTGCAATAAACACAGCCGTAGAAAGACGCACCACAAGATCTACCGCACACACTACAAGCTGGAGCCACCCTCGAGTCACCAATCCAAAAGTTATAGAAAGTATGATTGTGAACGTTGTTCTTCTCTGATACAACTCCTTCGCTGCATTCAATATGAAAACCGACATTACAATCGCCGCAAGAAAGACCATACTTTGCAATATCCAGCTTGCACGCAGTGCACTTGAATCCACGTATCAATCTCATAAAAAGTGTGTGACAAGAGTGCTTAGGATGGCTGTATAGCCTTAGACTCCAAACTTCAATACAACGAGGATGATATATCTCTCCACACTGCATACATGACAAAACTTTCCCACACAGTCTCTGATCACAAATAGTGCAAGCAACCGGATACGACCTAGATACCATAACTTGAAACAGATCATGCTTATATGTTGAACATTTTTCTTCTGTGGTTCCAATGACTTTCTGCCCCTTATGCAACACTCCAAGAAGCTGATTAAATCTTGCAACACACTTTATACAAGTGATTAAATTGCATATGCGACAGAAGAGATTGAAACCATTTATATTCTCTCTGCATGTATCACAATTCATAATAAACCATGTAGGATAACTTGGCAGGAGTATCAAATCATGGTTGATATGAAGTCGATGCCTTGATGGCTGGCCCAGATTTGCACAGTAATCATGTGCCTTGAACTCACATGACTCACAGTCCCATGAGATACCAAATATCTTTTCACAACATATTGTGCATTTTGTATCTTTCACTTTGATCGATTTCAGGATATGAATATGTCCAACATCATTAACCTGCAAGAAACACCTAAAAATATTAGTCTAAATAAATATTTCTTTATCACTAGTAGGTACCAAATACTATAAAGCCATACCATGAGTTTGTTTTCAAACTTGTTGGTTTCACAGTCTTCTTGTTTCTTTCCTCTTGCATTGTCTTTGTCACAAGAATATAGATCTTTCAAATACAATGGCGATGGTGTTTCCTGTTGAATACAATAAAGAGTAGGTCATCATCTTAATCATCAAAATTCCCATTAATCAATAATAAACAGAATTGTAGCTAATAACATAATAATAATTACCTTACGTAAAATGCATTCGATGTGGCCAAGAAATCACATTCATTGCAAGAATAAGCATGATGTCCTACATGTACTATTGTCTCGCAAACGCCACAATATTCTAAAGAATAATTATCATCATTAGCAAGAAAAATTCCGCAAACAAGTGGATGGATGTGGAAATTTTTCTTTACCAAAGACAGAGGTATATCAAGACACTCAAAATGAAACTTCAAACTACACTCAACGCAGTGATAATAAGATTTGAGAGAGATAACATCTCTTTTCTTGCATATCCCACATGGATGTTCTCTAAAGACGTTTTTAGCACTAGTAGCTACATAAAACAATTTGTGGTCATGATGAGAGTTATGGGTTAGACCTCGCAACAAAGAATCAGCACACCTCAAGTGAAGATAGAATTTGCATTCTAAACAACCAATAGGGACCGTGCGGATCTTGTATCCACATCCACCACAAGATACTCCAGGATTACAATGTTGAATGTAATCAAGGGGTCTGAGAGGGTGTGCCGGATGCACAGGATGTTGAATCTCAATGATAAGATCATCAATGCAGTGCTCATGAACAAACGAGTAACAATGAACGCAGCCGTAACATACCACGGAGGGAGAGAGTGGAAGCTCACACAACAAACAAGATCCTCTGGCGTCAAGACCTGGTCTACACCGGTTAAGCAAGTGAACATGGCTGTAATGGAGCTTTTCTTTGAGATCCCAGCTTCTGAAAATGTTCGGCAAGAGTGCACATTCAAGATCAAGGTAGATCTCACATTCTTTGCACTTGTAGAAGGAGTTTGAAGACATGGTTCCGCATCCAGAGCAGATGATGTGTTCAGGTTTCTGATCAAGCTTCCGGAGACAAAACTCAAGAGGGTGCTCCGAGTGAAATTCGTGTGACACCTTCTGAGGTAAGTTGGAGCAACTTTTGCATAGATCGAAGTTACAAGGGATGCATGTGAACTCGACATCTTCATCTTTGAAGCAAATGTTGCAGATCCCATCTTGTACAGTCTCCGGAGAAGTAAACACGCATTCATGGGAGCCATGCTTGAGTTCTCTCATCGTCATGGGAGCAAGAAAAGTCACCGAAGCAAAAGTTTTAAGACTGAGATCCGATCTGGTTAATAAATAATTCCTTTTTAAATACAAAAATATTCATGGAACTTTTTTATCTGAGGAAGCATTAATTATAAAACTATTGGGTTTCAAAGTTGACATGGGAAACAAATACATGTAGCAACTAACAACCAAGAAGGGGCAGCGGTTGCAGCTGCAGGTGTAGAAGTTTATAGAAGTGGGTGGTTACATTTAACAACTTAACTAGCGGTTTGTATGATTGGTATAATGATTGAGAGTGGGTGTATTTACAGGATATTTTTGACTAATTGGCCAACAGGTGCAAAAACAATTACATAACAAAATAATAATAAAATATATTATATAATTAAAAAATAACAAAAATATATCATTATAAGAAAATTATAAATGATAAATTTAATATAATTAATAATAAATATCAGAAAAATATTATATGCATAGTACCTACTTTTATTTCTTAATTTTTTTTAGTTTGTATAAAAATTATGATTTTCCAAATATTAAAATTATATTATAATAATTTTATTTATTATATAATACATAAATATTAGTGGTAGAAATAAAAATTTATCTAAATTTTTTGGTTTAAAGATCTTATAAATATAAAATTATGATCAATAGTTAATGAATATCAATTTTAGATCATACAAATATTTAATTGATATTACTTCAAATAGTATCAAAATTATTTATATATTTGTAATTATAATATTTAAAACATATCTAGTGAGAGGAGCTTTTGATTTTGAAGAAGAAAAAGTGGTATAAATTGGTTAAACGCATTTTCTGTAATTGTGGTCAAACGTCAACAATCACTATCACCTCCAAAAGCTGCATTTACGGGTGTTAGCGGGAGAACCAATCGACACCTAACTTGTTTCATTCAATCTTCAGATTCAAAAATTTAGGTTTTTTAAAGAGTCATATAAGCTTTTAGGAGCACATGTGAAATAGAAAAGTACAAATCCGATATGAAAAAAGAAAAACTATTAAAAATATGTCAAAGTAATAATATATTAAAATTTGATATGAAAAAAGAAATACAAAAATTCAAAATAAAAAATATTAAAAATGTTATACTATATTAATTTAATGGTTAACTCACCAATAGTGATGATTTTAAAAGATATTGTTCCCATTGATTTATTTTCTTTTTTGTGTATAAGATCCCATTTATATCATTAATAACAAAAAAAAATAAAACGATGGAGAATTATATTATTAATTGGCAAGCAAGTTGGGCTGTGGTTGAGAGTTATTATGGTTGATTACTATTTGCCCCTCATATGAAAAAATTTCATTTACCCTTAATGAAAATTAATACTCTTAATAAAAAATATGAAAATTATAAAAATCATCAAATAATCTCTACCATATGTCGATAACATAGAAGCCCTAAATAATCTCTCACCCATTCAACATTATAAATACTTTTATTTAGAATCTTTAGGTCACGCTACTTTCCTTCATCTTAATTTACTTTAACAATCCTTAATAAATTTATTAATTAAATTAAACTATGCGATTGGTTTGGTTTTGAAGCGGTTTTGTGTTATTTAATATCGATATGGTTTGGTATGTTTCAATGGATCGATAAATGATATGTGACTTGGGTCATTATGTTTACTAAAACCCTAGATTATAAAACCTTAGATTATAAATTATATATAAATGCCTCCGACCTGTTTGAGTATTTATGTTACATCTATGGTATGGCCGTTGTGTTTCTTGGGAAGACAGTCGTGTTTATGTAACATGGCTATGGTAATCCGTCTTATTTATTTTCTTGTAATCTTTAATTATGGTTTTGTTGTTTCGTGTGTTTGGTTTAAAGTTTTGGTGTGCCTTCAACTTTTTGTTTAAAGGTTTTGGTCGTAGTGGTTCCGAATCATGTGTTTTGTTTTACTTAACTTTTTGATTAGGTGTCGAGAACATAGAGAGAAAAAGAATCGGAAGGAAAAACTTTCGAAAAGCGATTCAAATTTGTTTGAGAGTCTGTATTTGTTTGTTTAGTTTGATCTAATCTATAGTCAATCGAAAAAGAAGCTGAATAGGAAGAATATGAGGAATGAAGCTGAAGTAAATTGCATAAAAGGTATTTACTACTTTATATATCTCTCCCCGCTTAGGCTTGATCATTATGTTTTGATTACCAATCTATTGTCTATTATGTTATTTCGTTTCCCTATTGTCTGTTGATATCTTCCACTCTTGGAAGCATCAGATAATGTTTACTTTCTATGTTTTTTTCATATATTTAGTTCATTGCTTTCTTTTAAATCTTCATTTATTTCTATATTATGATATTTCTTTCACTTTGCTCTGACAAAAGTTGTATTATATCATTGTGAGTATTTAATTTGGTTTTTCTTTATGTGAGTTCATCTTAGTATTTATAATTTAAAAAGATTCTGTTTGCAATTATATCACCATGTTCTATAATGAAGTTTTTAAATTAGTATAGAAAATTCAAATCTGATTTGAATTTCTTATTTTGTAAAGAAAGGCCTCTCACTTGATTTGCTGCTAATCTCTGCGCCTCTCTTCCTCGAACTTCAGTTCACGTTCTTTATCTCTCCATTAAACAGAGTTGTTGAAAGTTAAGAGTCAAGGGCAGATACTAACAAATCACTAATCAATTAATCATTAGTTGACGTTTTTGTAATCTTTGTTCGTATAATCCCGACTCAAACTATATTATCTGATCTGAAATCTTTTTTTAGGTTGCATGGTGGGATAGTTCTTTACTCACAAAAAAATATAATTAGTGAGTGTTTGATTTATGTTCAACACCTTTGCACTGTGTTTTGTTTGATCATGACTGTTTTTTAATGTGTGTTTTGCTCTTTTGATTTGATGGTTATTCGTTATTCATGATGTTTTCTCGCATAAACCTGATATTAAACAGATTTTGTGATTTAAAATGTGTGTTTCCCATTATTTGGGAATGGAATGTCAAACAGAATGTAGGAAAAATCGGTGGAGCATGCAAGTGAAATTGTGATTTGTTTTTTTGTTTCTTATTGTTTTTTACTCACTTTCCAATTAATTCTCTCTGTTTCATTTGGTCAGTCATCACTTTCCAGGCATCGAACATGATCATGAAAGATGTGGTTGCCTCCACGCTGCTCTCCACTGGTTTGTTTGCCACTACATTCACAAGCTGAGGTGGGAACCCGATTGAGACACTTTTGAGGTCGATATGATGACTTGGCTTGCCACATTTATCCCAAAGACACTGAAATTCTCAGACATACGTTATCGAGACACGTAAATGCCGTTAGTGAGATTCAAATTGGAAGAGAATTACTACTTTTTGGATGCAGAGCATAGCTCCATCAAAGCGTTTAATCTATCGTAATGAGGAAGTTTTTCTCATAAGTGCAAGATTGAGAGAAAAGATAGGAAAATAGCCTTATTTTTTTATTAGGAAGTGTAATTAACTATATAGTTAAAAAAATGTATATAAAATTTTGGTTTCTTGATCGGGTTATTTATTTTGTTCTCTCTGATTTTAAACAATTAGCATGGATATCAAAATCTGATTGCCACTCTTGAGTTTCGTTAATTTAGGAAAACATCTTCCCCAAATTCAGTTTTTTTTTTATGCTTCCAATGAGATTTGTTTGATTTATGTTTTTCTTTGGTTTACTTCAACTATTGTTGAATTGTAAAACTTATAATCATTGGAGAAAACTAAAACTCAAAAAACAAGAACATCATATCATTAATTAAGAAGCAAATTGGACTGTATGTGAAAATTATTATGTTTAATAAGTTTGGTTTAAGAACAATTATACTAAATAACAAAAATTAATATATTTTATGTAGTTTTGTCGAAAAAGTAATTAATCTTAATAAATTGAATATATATATATATATATTTATGGTTATATCTTGATTTAGATTAATTCAAAAATGATATTTTTATTTTATTTGTAAAGATACAAATGTATCTATATTTGTCGGATTATAAAAAAAAGATGGTATAAACCCCAAATTTTTATTCCTATAAATAGTGTAATATATTTGCTACTTTATTTCATATCATTTTTTAAATTTAGGTTAGTTCATATAAATTTTGATATTTTGTTATTTGTTTGTTTTCTTTGAATTTGATAAAACAAAAATTCATAGAAAATTGACAAGTTATTTGATTATTTATTCATTTTGATGTTTTTATAGTACTCTAATTTTATAAGAATAATTTTCAAATTGTATGAAAATAATTTTATTTTTTCTTATACACAAAAGTTTAGTATAATTAATTTATTATATTTATATCAGAATTAATGTATTAATAATATTAAAAGTGATTTATCCGCGCAAGGCGCGGGAGACCACCTAGTATCTAATTATAATTAGAGAAAGTATTCAAAATAACATGAAAATTAGTTTCCCTTATAATAATATACACACGCTAAATATCTTTCATTCATAACATATTTAACTTCTCTACGAAATAGAAAAAGCATATATGAGCGATGAATGTGAAGGAAAAAACAAATTTTGTTAGCTTGAACAAAATTAATATATTAGAAAGATTCGAATTGCATATTCAAATTTTTAATATAGTTGATAAAATGTTGAACTATAAAAGATTTAAGACGCATAAATGATTCTGTATTTTAAATATTTTAATTGAAGATAAATGAGAATTAAAATAAATAATTTTTAGATTTTAATGTTGTATTTTTCTTATATACTAGGCTTTTAAATCGTGCTATGTGTGAATTTGTATTAATAATTTGGTTTAATTTGTTGGCTAATATCTTTTAAATTATCAAAACTATAATATATTTATAGAAATTTTCTTTTATATAATAAAATTAAAACATAATATGTAGTAGTTCCTATTATTGATAATAAAATTATAAATCTTATAAGTAAAAAAATAGTAATGATACCTAACGAATTATCCGACTTTGATGTGCATATGTTTGATTTAAAAAATGATTTCCTTACTAGATATATGGTGTTTTGTTTTGTATTCTTAGGATATATATGGTTCTTTTTTTTTAAAAAAAAAGTTTATATGTTTAAATATTTAGTTTATTTACTAAATGTCTCACTAATGTTATGTACATATACATATATAATATATGATATATATTGATTCAGATTTACTTTTGTTAGTAAGCTACACTAATCTTGTAAAGCTGCTTTTTGCTTCTCCACCAGATCTTCTACGAATTTTAGGTTATACCTCTATTCAGTTTATAAGATCTGTTTTATTTGCAGTCAACTATTTGCTAATATTTATTTTTAAACATGTAAGATAATGTTGAGACTTCACATTATCACTGTTTTTTTTATCTTTTGTGTGTTTATTCATTTTTTGATTTGAATATTTTATCTTCATATATTTCCATTTGAATTTGATTCATAACTTTGTCATATTATATTATTTAAATAAAATTTTAAAGGATGTTGATCATGTGTTGTTCTTGTTGACTAAGTTATAAGCAGTAAATATGTATATAAATCAGACTTTATTACTTATTATATTTTAAATGTAAAGTTACTTGTGTAGTATTTTACTTTGTTAAGGTATTAATCTTTATAAATTTAATTAATATGTTTGATTTATAAACTTGTATAACCTATTAAAACTTTATATGGTTATTCATAGTCAACACCAATATTTTAAAAACCATGAATATTTTTGGAACTATATTCCAAACTAATTTTCTTCTTAGATCATGTTTTTTGTTATTTTAAATATCTTCGATGGTAATTTTATATTTTATTTTAATTATCTAATTTTTTGCAGGTTTGATATACTTAAAACATATATATTTTTAACTAATCTCTTTTGTTACTGATTTTTATTTTATTTTAACACACCATTGTTTTTAAAATATTGATATTTTGAAGACATAAAGTTTTGTTAGTTAAATATTTTTATATGAATTTTTAAGTAGTTGTCAGATATCAATTCAATATATTTTTAAGTGTTTTTTTTTAAAATAATATTTTGAAAAAAAATATTTCGTTTTAGTTTTTATTTAAATAATTTCTTAATATTAGTTTCTTAAATAATTAGCTTAAATATATATACTATTTTTGTTAGTTAAGTTTTTTAGTATTATTTAAGTTTTTTTATTCTCTTACTTATTCTGTTTATATTGATTTTGTTAAATAAATAACATAGATATTAAGTTAATATCCTCCTTTTTGTAATTTAACTTTCTCGATATAGAATTTCATTTTAATTGTATTGACATGTTGTAAGAAATAATTTATGTTTTGGTTTTTGTTAGTTAAATATTTTTTATATTACTTTCTTCAGTAATTAGCATAAAGTATAATTTTTTGGTTTGTTAAATTTTTGTGTTAATTTTTTAAATATTTCCCCAAAAATTATAAGTTTTAGATGGCTTTCTTTTTAGATAATTTAAGATGAATTTTTTTGGTAGTATTGATATTTTTAAATAACTGCCTTTAAATGTTTATATCAAAATTTAATCTTAATATTTTTTCTAAATAAATTACTCATTTAAAATATATATGTTAATTTTTTTTAATTTAACTTTTTCAATATTGATTTACATATTTATTTTTGTTAGTTTAGTTTTTGTGACAATGAGTTTCCATTTTATTTTCACAATAGATTTAGACTTTTGACATACTTTATTTTATTTATTTAAAAAAATTATCTTAATTTTCTATTCTATTATGATAATTTTACATTTTTGTATGTTTTAATTTATTTAAATTATTAATAATCTTTTTTATTTTTTATGTTTAATGAAAAACGCTGATATAGACTATCAGATTGAGTATATATGTCATATGTGGACGCTCTCATTGTCCTAAGACATTAACACAGACCACAACTAATATATTTTAAGTTAGCAGTTCTGATTTTAATTGTTTGTCGTGATTAAAATTTTGAAATAATTTAATTATGGTTTCAAATACAATTTTTATTAATTTTGTTTAATATATATGATTTTTCTTTCATAATCTATTTATATGTTAATTTACCTTTTTATTGTTAATAGAAAAATAAGATCTATTTTCAAAACTTTTTTTTATTAGTAACTAAATTAAAATTTAGAAATTTTCCTAATAACAACAAAAATAAAATTAATTAAAATTTAAAAATTTTCGTTATAACAATTAAAACGAATTAATTAATTTTAATATACAATATATAATTAACTAAAAATAATGATGATGTGTACCAATAGAATTGAATCTTTAAATCATATGTGGACACCCTTAGAAGCATTTAGCATCAACTTTTATCATATTATTGATTGAGAAGCAAGTTGGACTGTGGTTGAGAGTTATGATGGTTGATTACCTTTTGCTCATTATATAAATTTACTTTAATTACCCTTAATAAAATTAACAAATTAATATATAATCTAAATTTTAATTGATTTTTGTTTTTTCGAATCTAGATTTTCAAATTCGAGTGTATATCATAAAAATATTCAGTTTATTAAAAAAAAAGGATAACTAGCATAAATCACAAAAAGTCGATCTTAATTATTTTCTTAAACTAATTTTTTGATTGTTTAAACTACTAATACTTTTCACTAACCTAATTGATTTATACGGCCACAACTAAAACCCTAAATCTTTTAAACCTTTTTGAAACTCTCTATATATTAAAACAAAGTTTTCAAAACAATATAGATCAATCGACGGCCGTACTTTTCTCTCTACAACTTTCTTTTTTAGATTTTTAATCTTTTTTCAAAAAAAAACAGTCGTGAAATATTCGAAGTTATGGTTTTATTGAGAATTTTGTTTGATAAAAAAATGACAACAAAAGATACATATAAATTTTTATCGGATAATATAAAAAATATTAAAAAATATATAGATAATATTTTATCACACAAAAAATATACTCATAAAAATTATATTTTTCAAAAATATTAATTTTGATTTCGAATAATTATAAAATCTGATTTTTTATTAATTTAAAAAAAATTAAATCACAAAAAATTTGATCCTAATTTTTTTTTAAACTAATTTTAATTTGATTGTTTAAACTATAAATATTTTTAACTAACCTAATTGATTTATACGGCCACAAGTAAAATTCTAAATTTTTTAAAGCTTTTTGAAATTCTGTATATATTAAAACAAAGTTTCCAAAACAATCTAGATCAATCGACGGCCGTACGTTTCTCTTTACAACTTTCTTTTTAGATTTCTAATCTTTTTTCAAAAAAAAAACAGTCGTGAAAGATTTGAAGTTACGGTTTTATTTAGAATTTTGTTTGATACAACAAGACAATAAAAGATACATATAAATTTTTATCGGATAAGATAAAAAATATAGATAATATTTTGCTTTATCACACAAAAAATATACTCATAAAAATTATATTTTTTCAAATATATTAATTTTGATTTCGAATAATTATAAAATCTAATTTTTTTATTAACAACTATTTTCAATAATGTTAGTTCTCAAATAATATGTAGTGGATTTGATTTCTTTTTTCAAATATTTTTTTGCGATTTTTCTTTTATATTTTGTTAATGTATATAATTTAATTATATTAATTATAATTTTTATTTTCTTATATTGTTACATAATAATAAATATTTGAAAAAATATAATTTGTTATTTTTTTGCAAAATGTTTTAAATTGTATAAATGTTTATAATTTAATCTTATACATATATAGTAATTATAATTATAATTTTGTTTTATATAAACTTGGATGTAATTAATTCTTAATTAGAATTTTCGAAATAACTATTTATGGAAATATTTAAATTATTTAAATGTGTTTGGTAATTAGAGTTAAACTAATCCAAATAATATTTGAAATAAAAAATAATATACAATTATATAATTATTCATAAAAATTAGGGTTTAGTTTATTTTTCTATAAACATATGTGTTTGGTTATATTATTGCATAATAATAAGAATTTTATTTTTGTTTTTCAAATAATTTTTTTGTGATTTTTCTTTTATATTGTGTAAATGTATATAATTTAATTATATTAATTATAATTTTTATTTTATTATATTGTTACATAATAATAAATTTTTGAAAAAATATTATTTGTTATTTTTTTTAAATTGTTTTAAATTGTATAGATGTTTATAATTTAATCTTATACATATATAGTAATTATAATTTTGTTTTTATATAAACTTGGAGGTAATTAATTCTAAAATTAATTAGAATTTTCGAAATAACTATTTATGGAAATATTTAAATTATTTAAATGTGTTTGGTAATTAGAGTTAAACTAATCCAAATAATATTTGAAAATTAATGTGTTTGGTAATAGGAATATAAGAATTAAATAAAGAAAAAATAAAATGAATATTATTTGGTTGTATTAACAAATGACTAAACTACCATTAATGAAATTCTAAGGAAAAGGTTAAAATATAATGGTATTTCATGTAATATAACACATAAAATATGTTTAAACATTGAAATGATTCTCTTTTAATAGTATGGATTAAGAAGCCATACCATTAGTTTTTTTTCCAATTTGTTGGTTGCACATTCTTCTTGATTTGTTCCTCTTGCAAACTCTTTGCCACAAGAATAGAGATCTTTCAAGTACAGTGGTGAAGGTGGTTCATATTGATTGCAAGTAATTAAGAGAACCTCTAATAAGAATAAAACATAAAGATATAGAGGCATACTATATATTAATATTACCTTGCGTAAAATATATTCAATGTGGCCAAGAAAATCATATTCTTTGCAAGAATATCATTGTCTCACAGACACCACAATACTCCAAAGAATCATACTCAGGTAGAAATATTTTGCAAACAAGTGGATGGATGTGAAAAAGTTTATTTACCACAAATGTAGGTAATGAATGTCTTGACGACATTCCACACAGTGATAATACGATCCAAGAGAGGTCACAACTTCTCTATTGCATATTTCACAAGAATCGTGTTCATAAACATCAGCATTATAATCGCTAGCTCTATAAAACAATCTGTGCTCATGAGACTTGTGAATCAGACCTCGCAATAAGGAATCTGCACACTTCATGTGAAGGTGAAATCTGCATTCAAGACAACCAATAGGGACAGTAACGATCTTGTTTCCACACCCATCACAAGATATTCCACTAGTTGTGTGTGTAATTGAGTCGCCTCCTGAGAGGGTGTGGTGGATGCAAAGGATGTTGAATCTCTATGGGAGAAGAATCAAGTCAACGCTCGTGAACAAACGAGTAACAAGGAGCACAACCGTAACATACAGCGGAGGGAGAGAGTGGAAGCTCACACAAAAGACATAAACCTTTAGCGTCTGGTCCTGGTCTACACCTCTTGAGCAAGTGAGCATGGCTGTAGTGGAACTTTTCTTTGGCATCCCAGCTCCTGAAAATGTTCGGCAGGATCGCACAATCAAGATCTAGGTAGATCTCACAGTCTTTACACTCGTAGAAAGATTCTGAGGACATGTTTCCGCAACCAGAACAGGTGATGTGTCCCTGTTTCTGATCATATTTTCGGAGACAAAGCTCTAAAGGATGCTTTGAGTGAAACTCATGTGACACTCTTTGTGGAAGATTGGAGCAAAATTCACATAGATCGAAATTACAAGGGATACAAGCGAACTCGACAGGTTCATCTTTGTAACAGATGTTGCAGATACCATTTGTGACAATCTCCGGCCAGGTTAAAACACAATCATGAGAGCCATGCTGGAGCTTCTTCATCGCCATGGGAGCAAGAAAGTCAACGAAGGAAAAGATGCAAGATTGAGATCTGATCTAGTTAATAATTAACTCCCTTCTAAATAGGCTCATCAAACAAAACAAAAAAATCTACACTGCCGTGTACTTTTCTTGTTAATTCACTAAATCCTATATACTTGTTAACGACAAAAGATATTAAGAAATTAATGTAAAAATAACTTACAAATGTTTCTAAAAATAACAAGGAGATAAAAAAGAAATATAAAAATAAAATATTTGAATTCCTTTTTATGAACATGTCTAAGAGAAGGCTTTCAATGTACATAAATTATGTCTCCAAGCTGTTCTTCTTTGCAGCTTCACTATCATCCTGTGTGATATTTGAGAAAATACAAAATGCTTAAATCCATAAAATAGAAAAAAAAACAAAGATATGGTTTGGTCTCTACTTTCTTGAACCATATATTAAATCTTTGGACATTATGCACTTCTGATGAAACAGGTCCTTGCAATAGAAGCAAGAGTAGCTTTTACCCTAGCAAGAAGGAGCACATGTGAAATACGAAAAGTACAAATCCGATGTGAAGAAAGGAAAACTGTTAAAAATATGTGCATATAATAATATATTAAAATCCGATATGAAAAAAAGGAAATACGAAAGTTCAAAATAAAATATATTAAAAATGTTAATACTATAATAATTTAATGGTTAACTCACCAATAGTGATTATTTAAAAAGGTATTGTTCCAATTTATTTCTTTTCTTTTTTGTGTGCAAGTTCCCATTTATTTCATTAATAACAAAAAATATATATAAAAAATGGAGAATATCTAATTATAGTTTACTTTTATGAAGATTGGAATATAAATATATTTCCTTATTAACATACTAACGGGTGTATAATATAACTATATATAGTTTGTCTAGACAAGACAAATAGATACAAAACAGAAGCATTTTTTTTGTTAAAGGCATTCATTGAATTGTGTTTGTGATGAACAATATGGATAGCAACTCACTTGACCAAAAAAAATACAATATGGATGGCAACCCTAGTGTTTATCTCATAGCCTTCGGTGCTGTCTTCCTCGTCCTAATAGTGTTTCTTGTAGCTTGGTTGGCCGTAAAAATTCCAACATGGTTTAAAAAAAACCATGTTACTGTTACGGAGGTTTAAAATAGGTACATAATTCATTTTTTTCTTTTTTTAAAAAAGCTAATAATTATCATGATGATTCACGATAATCACGATAATAATTTCTTCTCTTTTTTTTTTTGTAGGTTTCATACTTCATAGTTATCGAAACAATGATTTCGAAGATACGAGTTCTAGCTTTCTTTTAAATTTTGTTTTACATGTTTTTTTATCGTTTTAATGATATTTTATTTATATGCTATGGATTATTGAAATAAGATACGAATTTTTTAAAATATATAAGTAGAACGTGAAAAGAAGAATAATAGTTCCACAAAATTATCTTTCTTATCTGTCTCGGAGATTTGGGCTCTTTGGTGAAGTATGATAATTCTATTATTACAATCAATGTTTCCGAAGTTTTTTACTAAGTATGTTCCAACGATTCTTCTTGTTTTGGCTTGAGACTGATCAACTCCAAAGTAAGCAAGAAAGTCTACGAAGCAAAAGTTTATGATTGAGATCCGATCTTGTTAATAATCCCTTAATACATACTCCTTACAAAACTAATAATGGGTATTACCGAACGAAACATTCCTTACAAAACTAATAATGGGTTTAAGATAATTCAAACTTAACCATACAATGCCTAATAGACAAATATGTAGCAACTAGCAAAAAAGTGATTTCTTGGTGCATTGATACAAAAAGATTGTCAAGAAAAAGAAAAAAAAATCCTCATTCAGTTTTTCTATAAGGGAGATTTTAGGTTTGATTTGCTACGTTTATACTTTACAACCGCAAACAATACAAACAATAATAATACAAAGCCAATTAGCCTACCACTTGGAGGCTAGACCGGCCTTTAACAGCGAAACATACAAGAGCTGGTTCCATGTGTCCGGCACACCAGGCAAGCACCAATGGCTACAATCTTGGTGGCTCACGGCCTCTCTTTTCTCCTTCTCCGTCCTGTACACCGTCCTGTATATCGACGGGTGGCCATCTTTTCTGAAATCAGTTAGTCGGCTTATGTTCATGTATATCACCGGAGTTTTCATCGTGTCACGGAGAATGTTCTCGAGAGCTCTCATCTTCGAAGGATACTTTTTTAAGTAACTCGTGTTATAGATCGGTTCTGTTTCATTATGGCATTGTCCTCCTGAGTTCCATGGCCCTCCTCTGTATAAAGAACACAGTCAAGAACACGTTTTGCAGTAAACAAAAAGTGTTTTTCCGATTGGGGATTACCTGAAATGTGTAACGGAGTATCCTCTAAAGACGACATGGGTTTGATTACGGTCGATGTTCTTATCGACCCATTTCGCCCAAGTGGCGAGAGCTCGTTTATAAGCTTCAAGAACCTTGAGCCTCGGGTACACAACGTTACCTTCTTGGTAATAGTTTTCTCTGCGAAAGGAACATCAAGAATTAAAACACCCACGAGGTCATCTTCTTGTTCAAGGTTCTCTGTTTTCAAGAATCATTTACCCTAGCTTTGTTTTGTCGTGAGTCCACCAATGACCAGTGTTGAAAATGAGTATATCAGCATCTTTATACATGGAAGTCGTCTTGTCCATCATATCCAACCTTAAAGTCTCTAATCTCGTCCCGTTCACGTTTTTGAAACTTGATTCCCTTACAAAGAAAGGCGAGCCGACGAAATCCACCGTGCAGTTATAGTCCTGCAAGAACATGAACAAAAGATTGAGAAATCATCAAGCAAACAGACATTGTTGCAGCTTTTTAAGTATGGTATTAAACATTCTGCAGAGAATAGATCTCTCTCTCCCTCACCTCGAATCTGAAAGCGTAAAAGCCTCTCTTCTTGAACTCGCTTCTCCCTGAGATCTCATACACTCGTTTCTTGTCCTTGAGGCTATTTCGAAGAATGCAAACAAGAGATTCCCACATGTTCCGGTTTATCGAATCCCCAACGAAAACCAGCTTCTTCCCTCTTAGCTTCTCCAGAAAATCAGTTCCATTCAACCTTTTAGGTTCCAACACAAAGAGATCACATTGTACTACTCATCAGACAAAAACTAACAATCTAATTCCATAACTGAGTTGTCTGAAACCCAACTTCTTTCACCAAGAATCAAACTAAAATCTTTATAAAAAAAGAACAAAATTAGAAAGCTTTTCTCTGTCACTCTGTGATTTGTACCTGGGAATGTCACACCCATTTGGCTGCCATTTCCATTTGACATAAGCATCATCAGGTCTTTTATTGGCGTGACAGTTGAAATCTCTGTCTATATACGGACAAGAACCAGGTGGGTAATAAGGCATTGTCTCATCATCAGCTCTCACCCAATTTCCATCGTAGATATCACAATCCTCGTATGAGCCTCTGCTTCGATCTTCTACCACAGAGCCATTCTCTTCGCTTGAGTTTGTCGGAGGCACAAACTTACCACCTCCCAAATCAGAGACCAAGCTTGAGCTATTACTGCCCACACTTACTGTAGCATTTGTTTCGAGGGTGTTTTGGTCATTTGCGACGAAGACTTTAGAATCTTCAGCCAAACTCGAATTCTTCACTGTTTCTCCAGATCTTTGTCCTGAATCGTCAAAGCCTGAGACTTTACCTTCTCCAGGGGAACTTGTATTCTTCGAAGCAGCATCTCCAGTTTCTCCAGATCTTTGTTCGGCATCTGGGACTTGGTCTGTGAGATTTACTACTTCAGGCTTCTCGTCCACTTGCTTGACAGAAGAAGGGATGTTTAGATTTGAGCTTCTGAGACCTTGAAGCAGAGGAGAGACAAAGGGGACACTGAAGGAGGAGTTAGTAAGAGAGAGAAGTGTGACGAGAGCGAGAGAAGCAGCGATTCCTAGACCGAATCTGGTCAAGATGTTTCTTCTTCTCGAAGATAAAATCTGGTCCGGAAACGGGAGTTTCTTTGACGAATCCATATCTTCTTGGTTCAAATGCAGTTACGGTGAACAGAACATGGAGACTTTGGAGAAGAAACTGAAAATTTAACAGAATGGTAAAAATTTCTGGCTTCGAGTTGGCAGAAATGACCCTTTTCGTAAAAAGAGAGGGAGACAATTTAGATTTTGAGTTTGGGGGAAAAGCGGTTTCTCTTGAAGATTGTTACGAGTTTGATTTTTCACCATTGATGTTTGCCCCTTCGTTAATGAATGTTTTAAAGAATGTCAATAATTGGGAAATTATGTGGGTTTAAACTTTAAAATTAAATTATTACCCCTAATTGGGAAATTATGCAAATAAATTAATCATAACGGAGTTACTAATATTTGATAATCAAAAACCACTGAGCTAACAGTTATTTGGTTAAAAACCTGAAAAAAACTATGCAATTGCTCATTTTCGCAATATAATTTTAATATTTTTCCTTTTTGATTTTACTTAATGAAGATAAATACTACTACTAAGTTGGAAGCTCGTGGTGGTAATGAATGACCAGAAAAATAGTGATCTAACAAATTATTGAGTTAACAGGTTAATTGGGTTAAATTTTTCCTTAATGACTGTAGTTAATGACGATAATTAGAAGTTGATGGGATCGTGGTGAATGACCAGAACATACAGCAGAGTGCCACCGACTGCATTTAAGTCACGTGTCATAAGAACGACTCACGAGAGTTTGGACCGACAGACGACAGCATTCTCGTTAAGTGCGATTGCTTGTTGCCGCGTGATCTGACGATTATTATGTGGTTTCAGTTGCAGTTGCACGCTTCTGTCCTAACACACGATTAGTCTCCACGTTTACGACTCTACTTGGCTCAAATTCGCTGATTGCCAGTTGGAACCGGTGGTTGTAAGTTGTAACTACAATACAAATCACGCTTTTGATCGGATACAATCCGATTTGCTTAAACCAGGTCCGGCTTAATTTGGTTTTTTGGGTTTTGTAATTTTTGGTTTTAGAAAAATAGAATCCATGGTTCATTTTGACAAAGTTTGGTTCGGTTCGATTTGGGTTTTTTTGGTTTCGGTTTGGTGTCGCAATAAAACATTACAGTTTTTTGTATAATTAAATGCGAAAAAATTGAGTAAATTATGATGATATATTCGAATTCAATTCGGCTGAGTAAATTTGAAATCGGTTGAGGTTGTTTGGGTACAGAAATTTGTAACCGCCTAACCGGTTCCGTTTTTAATTTAAAAACACACAAAAAACTTTCTTTTTTATATTAATGTTAAGAAAAAATAAATGAAAAATCAATCGGATTCTGAATTTCTGATATTTATACACACAAAATCATCACAATACTCAAGTAATGTGGCTAATCAATTTCTTTTGCATTTAATATTTTTTACATTAAAATTACATTCAATAACACACATGTTACACATCTATATGAACATTATAAAAACAAACAAAAAAGCAAAAACGAGCCCAAGAAAAGAACAAAAAAGATGAATAATCATACACAGGCCTGATCAATACATCATCGAGGACCAGAGAGCTCAATGGCTTCAACGACAAGAGAAGATTCTTGGATATAATCGGAGTAATACCTCATACGCGGCGAAGAACTCACCATCCCCGACGGCAAAGGCGGTGGCAGAGACTCCGCCGCACCGTTCTGCGACGCTTCCCATCTCTCAGCCAAGCCGTCGCCTTCAAGCATCTTCATAACTTCCGACATTTTAGGTCGATAAGTTGGATTGAACTGAGTGCAGAGAAGAGCAACTTGGACCATTTCTTCGAGCTCCACTCTGTCGAATTTGTCATTCAGATCTTTGTCTATTAATTGCTTCAGCTTCCCTTCTTGATGCAGCTTCTTCACCTGCCATTTTTCACAATCTCAATTCTCAGACCAATGAACTGAACCGAACCAAACCAAACTAGATTTTAAGATGATGCTAATGAATTGGAACCACAATCTAGCTAAACCTGAACCGAATCCAGACCAAACAGAAAAAAATAGAACCAGAACCGAAATTCTAAACCGAATCCAAATACCATGGCTTATTTTCGGTCTCTGACTCACAACCCAAACAAAACCGAAATCAAATCTAAGATACATCAAACCATACTGTAAAACTGCATTCAGTTATACTATTCTAGATAACTCAAGACTATGCTAGTCAACTAGAACCAAAGCCATCTAAAACTGAACCGAGCTAAACCGAGTCTTGATCAAGCAGAAACTTAGAACAGAAATTTAACCAAAAAACCGCAGTTAGCCGATTTCAAATCCAATACTAAATCGGTTAATTTCCATATGGTTTTGTTCTCTCAAACAAGACTGAACCAGAATTGCGACCAACACCTCCAAGATTCAAGAAGTGAAGCAAGAAACGGAGGAAAGAGACTTACCCAATCAAGCATTACGCCTTTCTGGTGTGAGGATCGGCCAAAATCAAGAGCTTTCTGACCAGTAATGAGCTCAAGGAGAAGTATACCAAAGCCAAAAACATCTGTCTTCTCCGAGGACTGACCAGTGGATAAGTACTCAGGTGCAATGTGGCCTACGGTTCCACGGACCGCGGTTGTGACATGTGAGTCTCTATGGTCTAAAAGCTTGGCTAACCCGAAATCCCCAACAACTGCTTCAAAGTCCTCATCCAAAAGAATGTTAGCTGCTTTCACATCTCGGTGTATAATCTTCGGATCACATTGCTCATGGAGATACACTAAACCCCTCGCTGTACCAACCGCTATCTTCTTCCTCCTCGACCAGTCTAATGCCGGTTCTCCTCGGATATGATCTAACAGAAATTGCAGCAAGATCGAACCATAAAGAATCTTGCGAAAGAAGGCCAAGAAATTGAAAAAACTTTGGTTCTTGAAACTGCATTTTACCTTTTAACCGTGAAGCTACACTCCCATTTGGCATGTAAGGGTAGACCAAGATCCTCTCGTTGTTGCTACTACAGAAACCGCGAAGCCTGAGGAGATTGCGATGAAGAGCCAAACTTATCGTCTCTACTTCTGTCTGGAACTGGACTTCTCCTCCCGCAATGTTACAGTCTTTGAGACGTTTTACAGCCACCAAGGTTCCGTCGCCTAAGTGCCCTTTGTACACAATCCCGTATCCACCTCTTCCGAGGATGTTCTTGGAGTTGAAATGATTGGTCGCGGATCTAAGCTCTTTGAATGTATACCTCTTCAAGTGTCCTAAGCTCACCTCTGGATCGTATTGTTCTGCAAAATCATTCATCATGATAAGATGGAACTGTTAGTTTCTCTGAGGAACAATATGATGCTAAGTGCCAAAGCCGAGACATTTGTCAAGATACTAACCATTGACATCGAAAAATATTTGCTTGTTACTGCGATATCTCCACCAAAGAAACATTCCGCTTGTAAATATAACGAAAAACGCTGCGCTGAAGCTCGCTGCAAATGCAAGAGCTACATGATGGCCATTGGTATGTGTTCCTGATTCATCTATAACAAATACAACCAAAGAAGTAAGCGTTAAGGTCCATTGACGCAGAAGTAGGTTAGGGAAAGGACACATGAGAAGCAGACGGCTAATACCTGATGGATCATCTTGTGGAAGCGTGAGAGGCTCGGGGAAGACAGCAGAACAGTTTGAAACAGCTTTAGGTCCACAGATTAACGAGTTTCCGATCACCCTTGATTCCAAGAAACAAAAAAAATGAAATGGTGAAATCTTAGTTTTACTTTAATGGAAAGATAGGTTCTTGGATAAGTCTAGTAAAGCTTACTTGAAAGTTCTTGCAGACACTTTTGGCAGCGAACCGCTTAGATTGTTATACGAAATGTCACTGCACATTAAGAATCAATAATTGGTAATATATTCACCAAATGTACTTTGTTCGACTATGAAACAAATATAAAGCAGAGTTTAGAGACGTACACTAGAGTGAGTCCCTCGATCTTGGATAGAGAGTCAGGGCAAGTTCCAAAGAGACTGTTATTGTTTAACCGCCTGACAAAACCAAAATGAACAAGAAGGGAACAACAAAACACTGAGACTTGAATTGAGATTTCATAAACAAAATAATTTGTGTGAATCCCAAAAGGAACACTCACAAGTAATTCAAGCTCTTGAGTTCTCCAAGTGAGTCCGGTATCTCCCCGGTGAATGAATTGTTCGAAAGATCGAGTGTCTGAAGCTTCTCCAACCTCCCAATAGTATCAGGAATTGGACCAGAGATTGCATTGTTTTGCAACAACCTAAGCCACAAACCTTAAGCTTAATAAGAACAATAAAAAAAAACTACAGAAGAAGAATCAAAACATAGCAAGGAAGACTACGACAACTTACACAGATTCTAGATGAGTGAGGTTCCCGATTCTAGGAGACAATGTACCAGACAAGCTTTGGCTAGGAAGTCCCCTGTTTCATTCAGCACACGAAGACGAGTCTCAGAGATCTATATTGGTTTCTTTGTCTTGTGTAATAGAGAGAGAAGAGAAGACTCACAGTGTAGAGACATAACCATCAGTGCAAGAGACCATTCTCCAGCTACAAGGATCAACTGAATTCACATCCCAATTCTCAAGAACTTTGTACGGATCATTCAACTCGTTCTTTATAGCTACCAAAGCAGTCACTGTTCATTTCAGACCAAACCAAAACAGAAGAAAATTCAAATTGAGAGAACAAATCTAGCTTCAAACTCCTTTAAGAATTCTCTTATTCCTAAAGTGCTGCATTTTCTCAAAATTGAAAAAGAAAAATCCCAAAAGATCTTTCATTCAAGTAAAAATCTTAAAGTATCTGCAGAAAATTTCCACAGAGAGAGAGAGAGAAGTAAAACACTTGAGCTTGGGATTGGATAGTTTACATATGGTTTCTGGTGAGCATTTAAAGCTTATATTTATTATCTAATAAATACAAAAGGAACCCAATCCACACAAAACATTCACCACAATTTTCGCAATACAGAGAAACATAGACAACCAAAGATGATAATTGCTCAGACAAATTCTCCAATCTGGAATCATGTGTTTGGACAAAGGAAAAAAGAATGCGTTTTTCAGAAATTGAGATGGCTACAAGAAGAAGAAGAAGAAGAAAGAAGACTGACCTTCATAGTTTACACCAGTAGGAGAAAGTGTAGCAGTGGAGACATCAAGAAACCATGCCAAAACCAGAAACCCTAATCTCAAAAGCACCAATCTTACACCTTCCATGGCAATATTCCCTCTTAAAGCAATCAACTTTTGTAAGGAAGAAAAAGTTTCAGATAACACACCAACTCATTCTCTCTCTCTCCCAAATGTGAAAGCATTTGCCTTTTGTTGTCTCTCTCCCCCCCTTTCTATTTTCTTCTTCCCCTGTCTTTTTCAGACACGGGAGCTACTTTGAGCAATCTTTTTCCAGCAATGGACCTCTTTCTTTCTAATTCAAATCAAATGGAGTAAAAGGAGAAGACCCAAATAGAAAAAATGACGCCTTGTAATAATAAACCCAGTTTAGAAAGAGAATTTTTGGATGAAGCATTAAGAGAATGAGTGCTAAACGAACAGTAATAAACACGAAGGAAGAGAGAGAGAAAGAGAGAGAGGGAAAGACTACAAAAGTATGAAGAGAATTTTCCCGAGAAACCAAGCAAACAAAACCACCAAAATGCTCTGAAAGACTGAGAATTTTTCCTAGAGATCTGAGAAAAAGAATGCACAAAGGCTATTGAGTGAAACTGCCTATTGGTTTTTAATTATTATAATCGCTTTTTTGCTTGAGTAATTATTGAATAGTTAATCTCTACAAGACTAACATTCCAATTTTCAAATGGTTAATTCAATCTAATTCCACACCACTATTACCAAATCACCTCATCTCATCTCTTTTGCCTTCTCATTCACCAGAAGGAAAAAAAAAAAAGAATTAAAAAATCATCAAAGGAGGGACCAAACAAGCAAAATCCCAAAATGAAAACGCCAAAAAATCCACACACACACAGAAGATACTGACAGAATAACAAGAAAAGAAGAGACACTCTGTTTTTCTACCCTTTTAAAGATTTTTTATTTAGACTCTTTTTGAAAATTAAATTAGTAGGAGTAAAAAAATAGTGTAATTTTTGTTTCATGATTTCAGTTTGAATTCTTTTCTTTTTAGCTTTCGGACAGATATTTCAAGGAAACACTTTAATATACAAAAATGTGATTGGACTGAAAGGATGGGTCAGAGAGAAAGATGAAAAGAAAAACATAAGAACAAAGGACCTCTCTTATTGTTATTTTATTTGATTTTTGTTTTTGCTTTTTAGAAAAGTTACAGAGAAAAAAGAAGTCCTTTTTGTTGGGCAGATCACGTTCATGGCCTGTCTCCTATCTTGTTGGCTTTTTCGAGCTTCAATTATTTTATCCCTTTTTCAGTTTTTGTCACACAAAGAATATCATATTTAATATTTTTTGTTTTAACAAGATAATCTCCTTTACGACTTACGTCCGTATTAGCATCATATACGAACTTAGTTTACACATTGTTTTCGGTTAATCAGGATAGATTTTGGTCCAATATCTGAAGCTGGTATCAATGAACAGAGCATAAACCAATAGTTACCATCACATAAAATCTAAAATAGAACAAAAGTTTTGTAATAAAAAAAATACATTACTAAATCGGCCAATTGGTTAATTTGCTTTTAATCCCAAGCCCTTTAATCTCAAACTATTTCTATTACCCCTATGTGCTTTTAATCCTAAGCCCTTTAACAAGAGTAAAAAATGGTGCTTTTTATTACAGAAGATTGCAAAAGAAAAGTTGCATTACTAAATCAGCCAATTAGTAGCATATATATATACAAACTGTGGTTTCATGTCCTCTATAAAACTTTAATTTTTTTATCAGTTCATTTATTTTACTTGTTATTTTCTTTATTTATCACCAGTTAAGAACTACTGCTTGAAAATGTGTCTTTTCATTGTTTATATTATAAAATAATTTCCAGAAGTATTTGGGTTGGTGGTTTTACTAACTAATCTCAAAATAATTTCATTGTTTATGAGTAATCTCTCTCCCTCCTTATTCCTAACTAATCTACCGCTTTTATTATTCCAAGGTTTTCCTAGTTTTTGGTTATACAGTATGTTATTTTTTTAGTTCATCGGATAGCAACAAAAAAAAAAAAAATTTATAGGATTGGAGTGTATCACACAACAGAAGTATTGGACGAATATCCACGAAATGAATGAGTAAGTTTCGTCTTCCGAGAAGATATATATATATATATATATATATACTAATGTGTAAAATAAAACATGTTACATTATTACATGTACTAATGTCGTATATCTACGTATGTGTAGAATAAAACATGTCATATCTCTTTAAGAAAAAAAAGATGTCATAAAATACTAAAACAAACTACATGCGTAGATGTTACACACAAGCAAATAATTGTGGTGTAACAATCTTTCACTATTTAGGAGTGAGTGGCTGATGTGGCTGAAGAGTTTAACAAAATTCCAGATTGAATAATTCAGTCTACCAACCCAATACCTAGCCCTGAAAATTTTCAAGAAGACAATTGACTTAAGTCTCACGATTTTTTTAATCGTGCATGTTACTATAAGTTTGCTCTTTCGATATCTATCGAATCGTACCTTCATTTGCTTGTATCGTGAGTCACCATGTATTTCGGGAAACCCAACAAATTCATCCCATGCAGTATAACTGATTTCTAAACGTCTCAATTCTGAATCTCTCATAGTGTACTAATTTAACTACTTATATTAATAATTTGTGCTATAGGCAGGCAATACAAATCTGAATTTCACTACGCAATATATTAATCATAAAACTAGCTCCATGCCTTCGGTCACATATATAATATGATTAAACTATAAGTGTCGTTCACATTATTTTGGCAAATGAACTCTAATGATTCGAGGTTACGTGGTATAACTATATGGTTTTGCCAATAAACAAGCAAATAAGACGAAAACGTATTTGATTAATTGATCACGGAAAATTAAACATACCTCGAATTGTGTGGGTAACTTTGAGAAATATACCCAAAACCCGAGAAGGTTAGCGGGTATATTTGTCGCATTGGGAAAACTCAAATATTCTCTTTATTAATTTAATAATATACGGAATAAATGCAATTTTGTTTATTATATATAGGTTTCATTCTCTTTAGGCCAATCACACAAATGGTTGTGATATTGTGATTCTGGAGATGTATAGAATTAGCACAAATATAACATATCGAGAAAACTAAATTACAAATTAGACCTCGAATATTAAAAACAAAATTACCGAACCAGAAAGTGTATTATGCAAAAAAAACTGTAGAAGAACATATTTTGGTGGGTTAGTGGTTTATTTTAGGTTTAAGGTCGCCGGAAGAAAAAAACTAAAAAGGTTTCGGAAAAAATAAAAGACAAAAGGTTTACTTATGAGCCTAGTGGGCCTGTTGGGCCTACTGGACCCGAGTTCTATCATATGATTTGTCACTCTTCGTAGACCTCACAGTCTCACTCTCACACACCTAATCGACCGACTCGGAAGTCCTATTAAAGAGAAAGATGGTCCCTTGTTTTTTTTTTTTTCCCTAATTTCTAATTGAATCAATACAACAATAATACTAAAGTCTCTCCATAGCATGACACATCAGCTTTTTCAAATTAGTAGAAAAAGACACATCAGCAAAATCAACAACTAATTAAAATATTTTAATTAATACACATCATCTATTATTTTTTTTAATTTAAACCCATTAAAAACCCAAATATTTTTTTGTTAATCTTTGTTTTATTTTTTACCACACCCAAGTCCAAATATTAAATAACAGTAAATAAAAAATTAAATTTTTATTTCATTTTTTGTCAAACTCAAACCCAAATAATAAATAACAACAAATAAAAAATTATTTTATTTTTTGCCAAATCTAAGCCAAAATAATAAATAAATCTAAGTCCAAATAATAAATAACAGCAAATTAAAAAATTAATTTTTGTGGATATATTAACTTCGATTAAACGACAAACTTATTACAATCATTCGTTGATGCATTGTAACGTCTTATGATTCAGATATATCTTAACATAAACTTGAAACAACAGAGCTTGGTTCTATATGTAAAAAATTTTAGAATCGTCTTGTTATTATTGTGAAACAGAGCTTAAAGATATGCCAGTGGAGATGGTAGCTAAGTTAGTATATGAGCATGCGAGGAAGCAATGTTTTTAGCTCGGTTTGGAATTTCCTCAAAAAACTTTAAATATAGCTCGAACACATCACCATTTTTATAAATTGCATCTCTCTATCTTTCATGGTATCCAAAAATCTTATATGTACCTTTTGTTTGTTGAATGAGTAGAAAAAAAGAGAGAGTGAGTATTGTGGTTGGTTTATAATGTAATAGCCATCAAAGTATTTTTAATCAAGAGATTTATATTTGTGCTTTTGAATCTTTCTTTCCTTAATCTATAGTAGTAATCTCAGTAAAATCATCAAAGCATTGCTCACTATAGCAAATTCGTTAAAAATATAAACCAAACTAAACTGAAAAATAAATCTATGAGAATGATCAAGAAAAATAAGTGTGGCCTCTTTTAACCAAACCAAGTTTTTGATTGGACTCGTGTGAGGCTTCTTGTGTAGTCGTCATCGTGGATCTTTTTAGGTGTTAAGTCTAAACTGTTTTTAGGATTTGGTTTCTCTCCTGACCCAATTTGAAATTTTATTGGAAGAGTTATAAATCCAAAAACACAAAAATAATTAATTAATTATTGTTATCAATTTTTTTTTAAAATTTCAACTGGTTATTATTCATAAGCCTTTGTAAGGCAAACATACAAATGTGATTTTCAGGTGGAAACTGAACCAATTTATAGTGTCTTAGTTGAGGCTTCTATTGGATTTAGTTCGCTAGGTTAGTTTCAACAAAAACTGTTGAAAGAATAACGTAAAATAAATAACATAAGAATCATTAAAACACTTAAAATTAATAATGTAGTGAAGAACTCTAATGAAGAAGACTTACCCAATTAATAAAGTCTCAAGAGACTAAAAGATGCATAGTCAGCACAAGAGATGAGAGATGCATAATCTCACTAGATCTCTTCCTTCAATTGTGTCACTTGACAAATTCATGTCACTCATAATTTCAGAATCTCCATTTGACTCTTTCATTTCAGATATTGTAAAATGATCATTGTTCTGTATAATAATGATGGAGCAATGATTTTGATTTAAGAAAAGGGTATTTTTTTATTCAAAAGAAAGAGATATCAAGATACTCAAAAAGAGAATTTTTAGCGTTTTATAGTTGGCGTCTTTATTTTCTTTCAGATTCAATATTTTAAATTTATACTATAATTGTCGACAGTCTTCGATGATATAAATTTAGTATGTATAAGATCAACATTTTATTATACGATTGAAATAATATATCAGCTCACAAAGGAGACAAAGTAAAGATAAACCCTAAGCTGATAACATTTAAATGTGTGGACTATATAAATATGCCAAACATCTATGAATATGTCTTGAGTGAACAATGGTTATTTCTATTTGTTATAAAACAGATTAACATAAAGTTTTTTTATTAATGAAAAAGATTTTTATATTAAATAAAATTTTGTATTAAAGAATAGTTTTATTGTGAAATTTTACATTTAAGGTATTTTCCGTTCAATATATATATATATATATATATGAGAATTAATTTCAATCTTGACCTTTTATATTCATAATTTAGATATAGTTTTACATCATCCAAGTGTCTATTAGTGTTTTAATTAGACCTTTACTCACCATTACAACCATTTATGTCCTTTTGAACACAACAAAACATCTTTTTATAAATATTTTTCTAAGAAAACTTACATTTGCACAAAAAAGATAAATGATATGGCTAAATTAACGTTAAGATGGTTTTACTATTAAGCTTCAAAACTTTAAAATTCGAAACACTATTCTAAATAATATTTTTGTGCATGCATGTTCACAAAGTCTATAATCAAGAAGTGGTAGATCATTAGATACTTAAACATGTTTTGGAGAAAAACAACTAGATGGGTGAGCAATTATTTTTCAAGTTAAAAAATTATGAAACTATGATGAAATTAAGTAGGATGTCATTTGAGTGAATTTTTATATCAATTTAAAGGGATACCAGTTTAAGACAGTAAGGATAATACAGTGAATTGTGCTCTTGGTGAGAGGAGATTCGGTTAAGTGCAGTAATTACTAAAGTTGAAGAATTGCACATAAGCACGTTCTACCATATGTGTTGCCTTACATCCACCTCTGGTAAAAATTAGATACACAGTGACTATGACACAAAATACATCTAAAACAGAATTTCAATAATAGATTTGTATATTTCTTCAAATATGTATATAATATTAATTTTAATATATTTTTATTTTATCAAAAATTAACATTAAATCAATAAAAAATAATTTAAAAATAACCCACATAAATAAATTAATTTTTGTTTTCATGATACTTTCATAATATACAAAATGTCAATATTACTTTGTTCTCTTTCAAATCAAATAATACATTTTAAACAATTAGTTCAATGTTAATATTAAACATATAAATAAAATATTTAAATCAACTTCTGTCGCGGGTATATACAGCGCGGGTATATACCTAGTATTATTAATAACGTCCTTTTGTTTGTTTTGGGAATACACTTTTGAATCATTAGACACGATATAAATTTATGGTAATCAAAGGAGAAAAACTAAGTCTCAACACATTAAGAAGACACTTGTTTATTGTTATGAATACATTAAGGAACTTAATAAGTGAAACATAATCCAACCATAAAAGTCTCAACACAAACCAGAAGGAGCAATTGAAGTTACAGATAGGAGTAAAAAAGGCTTATGCAGCCGCTGTGATGTAGTCGATTGCCTCCTTGCAGATACCTGTCATTGTTGCTTCAGGACCATACACCTTAAATCAAACAAAGTAGCAACACAGTTAGAATCGAGTTTAAGCAGGAATGTGTTTCTGAGTTTATATATTGTGTATATATATACCTCGATGGGGACACCGATTTCATCTCCAAGTGATCTCATTTTAGCAAGTCCCTTTTGGTAGTTTGGTCCTCCTCTCCTCACAAATATATTCATCCTTGCTGCTTTCAGCTTTGCTTCCTGTTCAAAACCAAAGAATAAAAGGTTGAAGAAAGCTCATTTATACTCATATATACTCTCTTCTTGATTTACCTTTTCCTTGAGAGCTCGGATTATGCCATTGAAGGTAGCAGCAACATCGGTGAAGTTAGCAATTCCACCTCCTATCACCAGAGCTCTGGTTTTTCCATCCGGATTCGCTGTAGCACACTGAATAGTTGGCAGATTTGCAGTTTTTGTATAGTCAGAAGTGTCTTTTATGTTTGGTTGGTTTCAGATGTTCTTATGTGGAAGCAGAAAACAAACAAAAAAAACAAACTTACATCGATGACGACTCTAGCGTACTGTAAAACCTCGTCTTCTTTGGGAGCTCCACTGTATTCAGCGTAGTTTCCAAGCTCAGATGCATATCCGAGATCTCCAACCTAGATAAACATTTTAGAAGACAACTCAGAGGCTAAGGCTTGTAAGGAGGAAAAAAAAAATGCAGTTGAATTTATATAGAAACTTACGGTATCAGCGTAGATGACACTTGCACCTCCTCCAGCAACCATAGTCCAAATCCTTCCCTTGGGATTGAGAACGGTGAACTTCAAAGAGGCACTTGTCTGCATATACAAAAGGTTCAAAAGTGTCATACAGAAACTCCTGTTTCCCAAACCGCCAAATTCTAGACTGATTTGGTAAATCATACCTTCTCATCTAGACCGTGGATGAAGCTCTCTGTGGGGCTCATCACTCTTCCAAATGGCATAGGGAATTCAATGTCGCCCCACCTGCAAAATTGTGAGAGTTTAAGCAATCACTTGAATACAGCAGCAATATGGCTTATCATGTGCCTTCTTAAAGCTCTTTGACTTCGAACAGTTGGAAAAAAAGCTGAGAGTCAAAACTTACTTCTTAAAGTTTTTGAAAGCAGCGGTGTCATCAAGCTCACCCCTCATATCCAGAGGATAAGGCTTTCCATCAACCAATGCGAAAGGATTCATCTCCAAGAAAGTGAAATCAAGATCTAGTGCCCCCAAGAAATAAAGAAGAGAATGAAAAAGCTTCAGATGTTGGTTCAGATTTCGTCATTTGTAAATCTGCTTTGTTTTGTGTGTATAATCAGTGACCTTTAACATACCTTCGAATAGGGTAAAGATAACATGAATGAAATCTTCAAGCTCCCCTTTGATCTGTACATGGAAATTTTGAAGGTTGAAATTCGGTAATATGTTACAACGAAGGTTTCAATTCTCATTAATATTCCAGCTTCAATATACCTCTAGAGGAAGGGTTGCAACAAGAGGTGCACATATGTCAGGTGTCAGGGAGGAACCCGTCGGTACAGATATGGTCTTGACCTATAGAAGAAAGTGGAGTCTCGACTCAGTTTAAAGCTTTTACGGTAAGAAGATAGTGAAACAGGCACTAGTAAGTAAATGAAAAAAAGCATCCAAGGTACCTTGTCCCAGTTTTCCTCAATGTCGATTCCTCCGCACTCTGAAAAGCTTATGCTGCAGCCAAGCCTATCCGAGACGATATTAAGATAGAACTCCTCATTGTGTGGGACAAACGGTTCAACAATGAACGTTGTAATGGGTCCTTTGCATCCACTCATCTCTACCTGTAGATGATAGATAGGCAAAGCTAAACTAGAAGTACAGAGAAAGAAAATAACAAATAAGGTAACAAAAGATGGTCTCAGAAGCTCAATTCAACAAGTTTACCTCTTTTCCCAAGCGCTCTTTCACGAAAGTTGCAACGTCGGCGAAATCTAAGTTCAAGGCAACCAAACCACTTTTGCCACGCTTTCCAAACAACATGTCAGGTTTCACCACCAGCTTCTCGGATGAGAGCCAAGGCTCCTTCTCTACTAGCTCATTCAGATCAGTCTCTTGGTTAATCTACACATATAACAATGAACATGTCACATATAGCGTTAACACAAATGAACAGGTAAGAGCATTATTCAATTTCAGAACTGTAAACAGAACAATTCCAAAACAATGTAGTTGGGAAGAGTAATAGCCAATGTGCTTATGCACTCATCATAGACAATGATTTGGATTCAAATATATGCTAGATCAAGAAAAAGCAAATATCTACTGAAAGTTTTGAAACTTATCGAACAAATCAGTCTCTTGGTTAATCTACACATATAACAATGAACATGTCACATAAAGCGTTAACACAACAGAACAGTAAGAGCACTATTCAGTTTCAAAACTGTAAACAGAACAACATCAAAATAATGTAGCTGGGAAGATTAATGGCCACTAAGCTTATGCAGTCATTATAGACAATGATTTGGATTCAAATATATGCTAGATCAAGAAAAAGCAAATATCTTTTGAGACTTCTGAAACATATCGAACCAATGTTGAGCATAGACAATGATTTGGATTAAGATATATATATATATATATATATATATATATATATATATATAGACCAAATTTGAACCAAAAAAAAAAATATGCTAGACCAAGAAAAAAGCAAATATCTTTTGAGATTTCTGAAACTTATAGAACCAATGTTGCAGGTTTTTTTTTTACAAAATGCTGCAGCTTTTAGCATTTATGAGGACTAGTTTCTTAATATAAGAAGAAAAAGAATAAGCATCTTCTGGGTTTTAAACATCTGATTCATGACGGAGAAACCAATGCAGTAAACAAAAGTTTCGGAAAAAGAACAATATCCTGAAAGAAATCGATCTAACCTGAACGGATCTGATAGGCAACTCTTTACCAGAAAGCCTTTTGAAGTGTTCTTTCACCAGTCTCTTTGAGTCGTACTCTCTGATCTTCTTACGAGCCATTTCTCAGAACGAAGCTAGAGAATCAAGACGAGAACAAGAAAAAATCGATAAATCTCACAGATCCAGCCCAGTGAATCACACGAAATCGAACATAAAAAAAAAAAAAAAAATTCGTTTCGCGATCAGATCGCCGACAATTCGACTCGGGGATCCCGGAATCAAACAGCAAAAAATCTTTAAATCCGAGTCTAATGACGATTTCGAACACTCACGAATTCGAGATTAAACTTTAGGGACAATGTGGAACATCATATCGACCACAATGGCACACGAGAGAGTTTCAACAAAATTACTCTACGGAATATAATTCGACATGAACAACAGAGAGCTAGAATTAAAGGAGAAAATTCACAAATTGGATACGGATCAGAGAAAGATGAAGAAGAAGAAATCGATGAAAATGGCGGATCTTACCGTTGAGAGTGAAAGGAGAGAGAGAATGAAGGAAGGGCGAAGGAGGTAGCTACAGCTTCGGTAGTTAGCCAACAAAATCGAGACGTCTTTGCTCTGGACCGTATTTATATTATCGTTTTGTTTTTTTCCTTCGCTCTATTTCTTTTAAAAATTATAAAAACTTAAAAGTACTTCATTAATCTGCCCCATAACAGCTTTGAATAAGAAAAAAAAAATATAACGGATATATATAATATTTGCTAGATGTAATTTTTGATATATTTATATGGCTTGTTTTTGCATTTGTAACAAACTAATAAGAAAATTCATAAAAATAGTCGTAAAGCCTTTAGATTTACTCTTCCCATCAAGAAGCTGGTGAACGTGTTGTTCGTCCATAAAAGCCACCTAACTTGTGAGCCAACGTTTCAACTCACAGCCATTTTCATTTTTTTCATTTTTATATCCAATATTTTTGTATCAGTTTCCATTAGTTAATGTGACAAAGACATATTTCCACTAGGTTCAGATTATTTTTGGTACTTCAATTTAATTCCTATAAAAATAGTTTCTTTTTTAACTTACATTGAAAAAAATACAGATCTTATATATGCATTATTGATTTCTTTACTTTTGTTTCTCTTGAGGTAAGACTCTCAACAAGAAAGAGGATGCTGAGTTTAACCACATCATTTTTATTAGTACTTGAAACTGTTTCCGAGGCTTAATACATATCATTAATTAATGACTAATAAAACGATTACAAAGATTCCAGTATTCAATCGTTACTAGAAACACAGAAGCACCCTTTGATCTTATTTATTCTTCTTGTATCAGAAGCCTCTGCAAAGCAATATGAAGTTCTTGCTCGTTACGACCTCCTGCTTGTATCGCAAGCCTCTGCATAGCAATCCGAAGTTCTCGCTCGACTTTAGGTTGAATATTCGCATGCTCACGCTTAACTGCAAACTTCTTATCGCCGATCTGAATCGTGCGCAGAGCAGCACATGCAATATCTGTCACTGATGGATCTTGGTAAGCAGCGAATCCATATCCCTTTGCCTTTCCTGTTGCCTTGTCTTTGACCAAATCGAAAAGTCTTAGGGCACCAAAACACTCCAAGATCTCTCTGATCTTTGTCTCTGTGAACACATCCGGATGCCCACACACAAAAATACGGTCCCGATCCTCAAGCCCAGCACTGTTTCTCCGAGACATTCGTCCCTGATGAGAAGAGAGGATTAGGGTTTTTTAGGTGGGAAGAAGAACGTTTCGATAGACTTGGAGAACTTGTAAGATAGTCTCTCTGAATGCAACAGATGTACAAGAAAACAAGTCGTGAGTTTCTTTACAAGAAATCAGCTATATTTATTATAAGATAGCATCGACACAAAAAAGGAAAACTTCATACAAAATGGAAAAAATCATAAAAAGAAGAAAAAAAATCATTAAAAAAAGGAAAAGATCATAAAAGCACCCAAGTATAGACAGCAATAGGTGTACGTTAATTAGAGGATGAATTTTCCGCTACCATGTATGTACATATTAATTCGTTTTGATTTGATGATTGTTCTTTTTATACAACTCTGGTTATGTCCGGTTTATGCTTATATCTATGGAATCAACTTGTGTATGTTTTCGGAAAACCAAATGAAACCGGACATAAATAGGTTTTCACTTAGACTTGTATGGACTGGATCCTTTTCACCAGCACAGTCTCTAAAGCCCAAAGGCCATAGAGATAACACAAATCAGAGCTCACATTATGGCGGATCTATATGGTGATGGGGTGGGGCACATGCCCCACACTAATTACATAGATTTTCTAATGAGCAACTATAAGCAACTACTTCATCTTATATGTTAGATTAGTTGGTTTTAGATAATAACATTTGAAGTTTTTCAGCAAAAGTTTTGTTGTATCTTTCATGTTTTCTTTATTTATTTAATTTTCATTTAAACATGTCTTTTTCCAACTTTTTCTATCATCTTATTCTTTTTATTATATTTTATATCTTTTTCATTTCTTTTATATTTTTAATATACATTTGTTATTTTTCTTTCTTTGAATTTTAATAAACTAGTTTTTTTTTACAGTTATATACTTAAAAATAAATAACTAAAAACATTAAATTTTATTAGATGTTTATCAAATAGTTTATAGTCTAATGTTGTACAAAAGTCATTTTATTATTATTTATATATATTTTAAAGGAGTATATATTTTTATATGTAAAAATATTTAAAAATCGATGAAAATAATTTTATTTATCAGTATATTTTTTTTAAACCTAAAATTCGAAATTTATTATAAAATATCATTTTTCAATAAAAATTTTATAATTGTAATTTTTTATTATAATATTTTTTTATACCCTATATAAATAATTTTTCTGCTCCCGCCCAGCAACGGAACATAACGATATCGATAAAGTTTTGAAACTATGAACAAAACTCAAATCTTCCGTAACAGATGTTCTAAGTTCGCTGAATATCGAAGCTTTTAAATACTTGAAACGTTCTTTATTAAAAAAGAAAAAAACGATTACATATTAGAAAATTATTCAAGCTTAATTGTTCCAAAAATAAGCACCTTTGTAAATTACTCCCGAGAGCTTACAAACCTTCTGGTTGTATCGCAAGCCTCTGCAAAGCAATCTCAAGTTGTTGCTCGGTTTTAGGTTGAATCGCATGCCCCCCTCACCGCAAGCTTCATACCGCTTATCTCAACCCCGTTCAGAGCAGCACATGCTATATCTGTCAGTGATGGATCTTGGTAAACGCAGAATCCAAATCCCTTTGAGATTCCTGTCTCACTGTATTTAATCAGATTGAAATCTCTTAGGGGACCAAAAAACTCAAAGAGCCCCGGGACCTGTGCCTCTGTGAAGTGACTGGGAAGCCCACTAAAGATAATGGAGTTCGGATCCTCAATCTCAACAATAGACCTCGAAGACATTCCTCTCTGTCGATAATGTTTTCTCCTTCTCTGTGCTTCACGATTAGTCTCCCTCTTTTAGATAAAACTCTTCTGCTTCTAAAATTCAATTGGGTCTATTTATAAGAAAGCAAAGCTCTCGATTAGGTACTATTCCTTTTTAGATTGGGAAACATAAGTTTCAAAAGAAAAGGAAAAGAAAGCCAAGATCTTGTCGAAAGGTAAAAGCCAAAACGTGTTTGACAAGGTTAAGGATACGCTGCATCACATTCCTATTAGGATTAGGGTTTTAAACTTTATAGTCATGTTTGTGATAGGAGATAAGTTATTTGTTGTTGGATAATAGAATTTTAAGTTGAATGAAAGATAAATCTCAGGCGTCATAAAAATTTATATGTTTCCACGATCACATGATCACAATGGGTTTCTTAACAAAACAAAAGAGAGGAAAAAGAGTCCCTTTAAGCAATGAGAGACTTATCTGTTGTCATCTTTCACCGTTGAAAATACCAGCACAATAGCTAAACTGATGGTATGTCGTCCACATTGAAAATAAAATGCCATAGAGATATATAGAACAAAGCCAAGGATACAACAAAATGGCACTCAGCTCTCCCCCATTATGTTTCAGAACAAGTGGCGCTTGATTGTGTCAAGAGCAACACTAAAAAGCACATGAAAGTAGTCAGCGTATCATCAGGTGGGTTTAAGACTCAGCTTTACATAAATCTCAACTTAAAAGAACAAACCTGATC